AATAAAGACATAATATTATAAGCGCCGAAGATTAGAGGTGTTGCTGTTACAAGGGCGTAACAAACATTTTTTAAAGGAGGATGAGAGATCAGGACGATAGATGTTTGATGGGAAAGAAGGAGCAAACCACCCACTTACCACCACCCCACCCCCCCCCCCCACAAAAAAAAACAACAACAACAACAACAACGACAACAACAACAACAACAACACCCCCCCCCCCACAAAAAAAAAATCTCCGGCCTTTGAGGGTTGTTTTTTTTTAATACTAGATCTATATTTAACGACACAGTCTAAGACATCCACCTCTCTAAGAGTAAGACAGCCACTCAATGTGTATAAGTATAAGCGGTCTCGAACAATTTCGACGGTATTTACAAGTAGGTCTAACATGTATCTCAGTCTAACACGCAGATCAGCTCATAATTTTGTCAGGTACTAGTTTAAAATTACGCTTCGCCTCCTTAAAAAATTCAGAATCTGAAGAGAAGAAACAAAACATTATTACAATTCTTGACCGAATATAAACGTGAGACGTCAAAACGTATAAGCACGGTTGCTATGGTGACGCCATGTCCTAGATATCTATTAATAGTCCTGATCTCCCTTGCTGTCTGGGAAATGTCAAGTTAACCTAGATAACACACAAAATCTTTTCAAAGAAAAAAAAAATCCTTGCCCATGCTCCCAATCTTAAGCCACGTTACAAGTAAGGTGTATGGTACGTCTCTGGACTCCGTCGGTCCCAGTGAATTATGCACGAAGTCTAAACGTGCCCAAACTCACTGAGGCGGCTATCCCGAAAAATGCTGTTTTGAAAAAATCGAAGGTAAAGTTTTTGCTCCTTGTTCAGTTTCTTTGAAAGTCGAGGAGAGTTTTCTCTATATAACTAAACAAATATACACACCAATGAAACCGAACTTCTATAGGTAGGGTAACGCTCACTTTTGGTGTAGGTCAAGATTTCTGGAAACGGATTGTCTACGTACACGGTAACCGGGCACCTAGTCTCAGTATATCTACGTCCACGGTAACCGGGCATCTAGTCTCAGTTTATCTACGTACACGGTAACCGGGCATCTAGTCTCAGTATATCTACGCCCACGGTAACCGGGCATCTAGTCTCAGTATATCTACGTCCACGGTAACCGGGCATCTAGTCTCAGTATATCTACGTCCACGGTAACCGGGCATCTAGTCTCAGTATATCTACGTACACGGTAACCGGGCATCTAGTCTCAGTATATCTACGTACACGGTAACCGGGCACCTAGTCTCAGTATATCTACGTACACGGTAACCGGGCACCTAGTCTCAGTATATCTACGTACACATAACCGGGCACCTAGTCTCACCTAATCTTTGTATCTCTATGTACACGGTAACCGGAATGAAAATAAATCAATATTTGTCCTGTGCTGTCAATTGCTGAAAAAAAGAAAGTCATACAAGGGTCTTGTCGGGCTCGCCATCGTGACAGGTCAGTGAACCTGTGCGTGTGCATCACATTGTGAGTACCGGTTGGGGTCACCAAAGTTCATTCAAAGTCTATGCGTTGAGAAGTATAGGGCTCCGGAACGGGGGGGG